TATATATATATAATGAACAGATAATTTTGCTGTCTGTTATTGATTGCCAATGCAAATAAATGAAAGGATCCATTGAAAGCTAAGGCAAAATTAAATGGTTTTTTGCCTCCAGAAATAAACACCATTATCTTCCCTTATATGGAAGGCTTCAGTTACTATCATGCAAAAAGCTCAAACTGGCTTCATTCACATATTTTAAACCACAAGTCTGATTGGGCAAATACATCACACACTAAGTCATGCACAAGATCATCTTATCATGGGTTAGTGCAAGGTTAGAGACAAGCCACTGTCTTACAACGCACCTTAAATTCCGATGATCACAGCTGCTTTTGCTGGGTATTTAGATAAACTAGATATTTTGTTCTGTGTACAACATTAAGCTGAAGAAAATTTTAAAAAGCTATTATTCTGCTAAATTTCCTACCCAAGTCCAAAAAAATAATTCTCTATACTGTGATGCCCCCCTTAGCCTCAATTAATGTCTGTAAAGAAAGTGTAGCAAGAATATGTATTGCTTCATATTACATGTTTATGTGAACATACTGTGTCCTATAAAGATGTGCCCTAAAACCTCTAATTCAATAAATTATACTCTGAAAGTATCTCCTACAAGCTTAAGCACAATAGAATACAGGACAGAGCTAAGCAAAGAGCAAATATAGACTACAAATGGCAGTGTCAATAGCTTCCATACCACTTTTATCTCTGGATATATGAAAGCCTACAGATCTTGTCAGCTGCTTCTTTATAAACTAGAAATAATCTAAAGGAATAATCTTTGGAATCTTCATTTGGTAGCATCACATAACCAAAGATACCTTCATTCCAATCCTCCCTCAACAAACTTAACCCATTAACAGAAAACATTTTAGAACAAAGTGGCTAGGTTGGATTTCTGAACCATGCACCAACTACAGTTTAACCTGCATAAACTGAACAAATGATCATTATGCCACTACATAATGCAATGTAATGCAACCATGCAATGATTCCATCTAGTCCTTAAATGAGTACAGTATTCACTAGTTATTGAATGAAGTTCATTAAAGCTACATTATGGTCAGATCTCCAAGACATAGACTATTTTAAGATGTAATTTCTTATCTGTCATTACTTTTAGTTTCCTTTTTCCTGTTTCTAGTGAATTCTATTGATAGGTGAAAGATCTGAGTAATTGTATTAGCACACAGAAGAAAAGCAAAAACATACAAACCAAACTGTACCATACAAACTAAGAAGCTTTCCTTAGTTTACTGCTATGCATGTAACTTACAGGACAGGAAACAAATATGGTTATTTCTATTCTTATCAAAGAATACAAAGTGATAATATGTTCATCCAACTAACAGAAACTAGACAGCAGCAAATAAACACAAACATGTACTCTATGGCTGTTATATATAGATATTATGACATGGTTTGTTAAACAAACCATACTGATTGGGTTCAAAGAGACACACAAGCCATAGAATAAAATACCCCTAAAGAACCATGGCTGGGTTCAGATATTGGTTTTAGAGAACAATTGCTGCTATACAGCACAGAAGTCTGAAGCCATATTGTGGCTTAACTAGAATACTGTAGTGAACACACGGGGGGGGGGGGATCATGGTCGGTAAAGTTCATTTAACGAAACAAACTTTCACCCATATTACACGTAAAGGATATAAACGAGCGAGTAAGAAATGCAATAGGTACTATCGGCCCCGCAAGCCAAAACAATATCCCCGTGTTGCTCGATTCTCTTCACAGTAAAATACCGACTGCACAACGGATAGCAGCGCAACAAGCACTGTAACCACCAGCCTTTTCGGAGGTTCCTGGGTGGGAGGAGAGCCGCGTTTGGGATAGGGAGAGCAGGTTGTGTGCGCCCTTCACCTTTTCCTTGTGGGGTTTGCGGATAAAAGAGGTTCGGGCCGTGAAGTACTGCTCCAGCTCCGAGTCTGAGTCTTCCTGGCTGCAGTAGCCGCTGCTCGTAGTGCTGCTCCAGGTCATCTCGAAGGATGGAGTGGCCGCCGCGTCACTTTCCCTCATGCCCTACTTCTCCAGAGGAGGAGGAGCGGCGGCGGGGGACGGCCGGACAGGGAGCTTCCTCTCGCACTGCCGTTCCTCAGAGGATCCGATCCGACCCCACTCCCGGACTCCTTTGTCCCACGCTTGGGGAGTTTCGACCAACTCACAAAATTCCCCCGCGCGACGAGCACTTAACGCTGATCCCGAGAACTCGAGCTACGGGAGTTAATTCTTCCCACACCCCCTCCTCCTCCTGAGGAACTAGGGGAGCCCCTTCGAATCGACACCGCTAAGGAGGCTGAGCCTTCGGCTTCCGCTTCGACCCTCGCTGGCCGCCAGACCTAACTGGACACCGGAACGCTCCCACTCGCCCTCTGCCAGGCGCGCGTCGAAAGTGGCAACAGCCCCGGCTTTGGAGGAGGGGCCGGTGGCGAAGGAAGCGCCGCCTCTTTTTGCACGCCCTCCGGCAGCCGTTGGGACTGAAACGTAGACAGCAGCCGCGCGCGCCCGCTGATTGGGTGACGGGG